TAATTGATATTGATTAAAGATCGATCGTTTTAAATCTATATTAGTACAAGTTCGGTAATTCACGAAGACTTTTAAAATTGTATTACAAGAAACAATATAGAATATTTTGGTGATCGGTCTTAATGTCATCATCCTTTCCACGTCTTTCAGACAGCTGTCTGACAAATCGATAGCTTTGTAAATCTCCATCAGGGTGTAAATTGATTTTGGAAAGTGAGGGATTCACACAACAGTGGTCACAGACGCCACGTCGTATTATAGCCCTCTAGATATCTTATAAAATGATGTATCCCGTCAGTTCGTGTTTAATGATTGATGATCTTCTCAACCTGTAGGAGAATCGGCGTTCCTCTCGATGATGTAGTACAATCGTGTGAAAAATAGATTGTCCCAATTAAGATTCTCACGATTTTCACAAGCAAACTCGCACCTCGATCTCTTCCTCGTCGTTTTGAACCATGTAAAAAGAAAACCCGGCTACATTTCCGACTGAAATTCGAGACACGTATAGGATGGGGAAGCATCTGTGCATTTGCACGTAGATCTGTGATACTTCAGACGAATGATGCGAAGGAAGAGGAAAAATATAACCTCGTGCGCAGACAAGATGCATTTTTCTCAAGCAAAGAGCAAACCTAAAATGTATCAGACGCGATAGCTGCAATGACAAACTGGTCTTTTGTACAATAAAGCGGAGTGAATTTATAAATTTCATATCTTGAGAAAGAGAATGACGGATAACATTTTCTTTATTAAACACATATTGATTTATTACTCATAATACTTTTAGCGCACTGAAATTGTACAGTCTGTTCAACAAAAAAGTGGTGATAATCTGAAAAGAATGAAAGATAAAATCAAGTGGTTTTCTTTTAACGGAAATAGAAGATTTTTAGTAAAGCGCAATTATATCTAATATTTCATCCAGTCGTCTTCATTATCAATTGTCTTGGCATACTTTTGACCAGATTTGCCGTGTATTCTGCAGATAAAGCGCCATATGGTTTTTATTTTTGTGCACAGCTGCTTCTTAAGAGTAAAGACACGCTTTCCTTTAAGTTTCATCTTAAAGTATGACCATATATTTTCGATGGGATTTGTGTCTGGAAAGAAAAAACATTCTCAAAAAAGAATACCCACTCTATTCCTTTTGAAGAATGCTTTTCTGGCAGCAGCGGTTTTTTCATGGTGGACCAAAACGGTCATTTTCATGCAAGTGGCTTCTGATAATATTAAGCGAGATACGTAGACTCTTTCGGTAGAGTTTACCTCAATTTTCCGAAACCATATTTCGAAACCATGTTTTATCTTCGAGTTTGATCCCTTTCATTTTACTTTGTTGTATCTTGCTTCGGGCAAATCTTTTTCATTGCAATATATGTACGTTATATGACAACTTGATTAATATCTGCTAAATGGCAGCTCGTATATACTTAGGATATAAAAGATTGAAACGCACGCACTATAATTATACGAACGTAAAGTGACGCGTACATTCATTCCCTTTGAATAAACATAAGAGCTGTTTAGTTTACATCCAATACTCATCAAAATTCTATATGCCTGTGGGTAAATCGACCGAGTAAACCGTTCACCAACAAGACAGGTTTATTTGTTTGATTATTAACGGAGGGACAAAAGCTTGGCGACGCATTCAAAATCGAGAAATATCTTGCCAATGCGGTCAATGCAATCGAACTGTCTTTATATAAAATCATTTATTATTTAAAAGTCAAACAGTGTAGAAGGGTTAATTTATCATCGCTAATGATAGTAGTATAATCTAACAAAAAATATATTTTTATTAAACAAAAATTTTACAAAGTTATACAGACATCAAGTAACTGTATAATTGTCTAAAAAGAATAAAAAAAATTTAGTATATAGTTTTTCATTTTTATTTATTTTTACTATTCTTTTATTGCATTTTATTAGATTATTAATATTATGTCATGAAAATCTATTTTGATCTTTTTTTTAAGATTGTAATACGTAAAAAGCTCAATCAATACAGAATTATATAATATAATAATTGTTATACTAATAATAAAATTTCGTTTTAATATTCCACAAAATACATCATATTTTCGCTAAATCTGTCCAGTGTTGTGATATATGCTCATTTCAATACCTTTGTTTCCTTTGTTTAATACACAATTACATTGTAAAAAATTTTATTTATGACGTTTATGTCAATAAACAAGCAATTAATGAATTTTAATAAATAAAGACATTAATTTTTTGATATTTTTTATATGTACTTTTAACAAAGAATAGAATCAACTATAGTTATTGTAACTGCCGTTATTTATTAACAATTAATCACCTCTGTTGTAATAACGATTTAATTTTGCAAATTTTTTATGATGATATAATACCAGAGTTAAAATAGTCAATAGTTACTTATAACGACTTGGAAAAGTCATCTATTATTAAAGAACTAACTAACAATTTGTAACTTGTTACTTTTTAATATAACTTATGAAGTATTAAATTGTTATTATAAAAAGTAACTGTAAACATAACGGAAAAGTAACTTTTTCATTCTCTGCTTTTTAATAAAGCAAAAACAATACTTTCTTAATTAAAGCAGGCCAGTACAAAATGTATTTTACTCGTAATTCGCAACAATTCTCTTCCTCTTTGCCGGCTTAGAAGCTCGAGTTAGTGAGCTACACTTTCTGACTTGATCGTAACTTTCGGGTCCAAAGATAGTTCGCAAGGGACGAAAGGAAGCCGATAGCAAAATAATCCCGGTGCACCGTAGTCATCCACGATGACTTAGTACCTCCGGATTCTCTCCTCGACTCCGGGAAACTCGACCACCGCGCTTAGTTTACTTCGCAATCCCACGTGACCGATGTGACCCTCGACAGTAAACGGGTTGCTATCGGACCACGGATATCTATACATCTCTGTTATATCGACTTAACATCTGCTAGTTCTTCAATTTAGAAACTTTATTACACCATCCAATTTCACAAATAAATATATAGGACAGTGGATTAGTACAAGATGATTGATGTGAGATAATCTAATAATGATGGACATAGTCGTTACAATTGATGTATGTACATACATTTACCTTGTTTTGCCATATTAGTTCTATCTTGCAAAGAATTTTCTCTCTTTAATTATAAATAAAATTGTGACTATAATAAAAATATAAACTAAATAAGATGTTGTAAATACATAGCTACAATAACATGAACTAAGCAAATTAACAACCAGATGGTGGTTACAGGAAATAATTAATTAAATATGAAATATTATCATACATCATGATATAACAGCATTCTACATTTTGCTTTGGTGACAATAACAGAAATTAACTGAGCAATAAATTGATGCAATTGAATCGGATGGACAGCCTGAATATAGCACTTAATACTATATTCTGTTAAATTTACCACGTAATTACCCACAAATAGCAGTTTGACACTAGGTTGTGTAAGACTCTATTACCTAATATAAATTGAATATTTTGAGATGCATAAATTTATTAACGCTGAAATAAAGCTTTCTTTCTTTATCTAAATTATGGATAGGATAATAATAAAAAAAATTAACAAATAATTGTTAGGTTTTATTAACTAGTTGTAAAGTCGGATTATTGATTAATACGTGCCTCAGCTTTCAGATTTATTGTTAGTGAATCGAAATAAGAGCCTGTGCGATAATTCAATTTAATGTTGTGAACGCTTCGAGCCAGATAATCCTACATCTGAGTTAAAGTTGTGTCTGTTCTCGGAAAGATCACTTTTATTTGCGCGGATCTATTTTTTATCCTCGATTGCTAATGAAACGCCTGCAAAAAAGACTAACCAATTTGTTACGTTCAAGTAAGATCTCTATTTATTTATTTACAAGATACCGTTAATCAACGTTAAAATGCATATGTATACACATACGCACACGTACAGAAATAAATTTAAAAAAAGAAAAAACAAAAAAGACGACTTGGTATCGAATCGAAAGTACAAAGTAAGCTCGACCGCCGCAGCGCCCAGAACCACTAATGTGCTCGCTCGCAGCGCGGACGGCAACTTCGAGGTGACCTTGGCCACGAAGGCCACGATCTACAGTCAAGGATTGGTCGAGTGGAAGCCGCCGGCCATATATAAATCATCCTGCGAGATCGACGTGGAATACTTCCCATTCGACGAGCAGACCTGCGTCCTCAAGTTCGGTTCGTGGACCTATGACGGCTTCAAGGTAAATTCGCATGGTAGCCGTTAAGTCGTGCCCCTTCTTCCCGACCAACCCCTTCGAGCCCCTATTAACTGAGACCCTAATTAGCCCGCTGAACGTCCGAGACGCGGATCCGACACGGCTCTGTACGGGATGCGTCTCCGGGACGGCGATCAAATAGATCCTAAGCGTAGAGTAGATCACAAACGATTGGCTCGTCGCGTGGGTCTCCAACGATCGAGAGGGAGAACACGGATGCTGTTACAGAAGACGGATGCTGCCATATAGCCCGAGATGATACGATCATATTTATTGTAGGGCAGGGAGTCATCGTAAATTAAGCATGACATATCCAATCGGCTATTCTTCCAGAACAGTAGAACAATATTATCTTTTTAATTAAAATCCTATCTCTAAAGAAGAAAACATTTAATCACGTAATTTTTACTTTTATCAAAAGCAAAGTCAATTGTCGTTACGTATCTCTCGAGTGAGATTGAAACACGAATCCGCATTATTTCCGAAGTTATCGATCTCGCGACTCAATCTGATATATCGGATTTCCGTTTTGAAGCCTCTTCTGAACGATCAGAAGAAGCGTTTCGCAAAGTAGTGAAAATATCACGATAACGGTGTAAACGTGAACAAGATTCATTTTGTCGATACATGTGAAGCCGATATCGTAAAAGACAGAAGGATAGCGAGGGAACGAAGAAAAGAGGAAAGGGGGAGATAGGGTGGCAGCATCCGGAGACCTTCTCTCCGAGCCAATCGTGATCACGCTCGGCTCGTTTCTTCGGTGATTCCAGCGCCGACGGGAACTACGAGGTGACGCTGATGACCAAGGCCACGGTCTACTATTCGGGATTGGTCGTGTGGCAACCGCCGGCCGTATATAAATCCTCCTGCTCCATCGACGTTGAGTTCTTTCCGTACGACGTACAGACCTGTGTTTTGAAGTTAGGCTCCTGGACCTATGACGGCTTTAAGGTGTCGCATTACTACAACGCAACGAGCACGAGAACCGCAGTCTCCAAGCATTTAGTCTCGAGAATACTTGCTCATCATCGGTCTACTCTAACGTTATCCTTTAGCTCGTTTTCCATTTTGTGTTCTCTTTGTCAAAGAATGCCTCCTTGACACCCGTAATCGTTCCTGCGATGCGCTAATCTTGGACGTCACGTGATATATTTATTACGTATATTTATACTCATCCGTCTACGCATGTATACAGGGTGCGCCGGATACTCTGCATTCCCTGTATGTATTTCTTTACCAATTTCGACTTGATCTTATTTTAGAAAAGATTTGAACGAATATCCTTGTAATTATTTCTCGAAAATTGTTGAAATTAAATGAGAAATGAATTATCCGTTCGCGTGTCTACACAATAGTGCTTGCTTTTAATAACAATTTAAACTTTGTTAGTATTTTAAAATTATCAGGGAGATCTACTCCAAACTGGTCGAGAAATTCGTAGATAAAACAAGAATATGGGGCACCTGGGACACCCTATATATGTGTGCATATATTTGGATATTGTTACGTGGTGTGGACTGCAGTGTTATTTTATTGACCATCATTCCATCGTGGTACGACGCGTGGTCGGCTCATTTTCATATCGTTCTACATACGGTGTGCTCGAGAAATCGGCGGGCTCGCGAGTCATCTAAACGCATCCGTCAGTTGCGGCTCGTGTTTGCTGTCTAGGCGAGGATCGACGAGCTTATCCAATGTCCACTATGTCAGACTGTAATGGAGTGCACGTACGAGCGATTCGAGAGATTTACCGTTACATGTCGGATGAGATCGCACCGTCAACATTTGTTAAGCGATAGATCTTGTTGCGCTGAATTTATTTCGCGATGAGAAAGACATAGTGAGATAAGAAAAAACTTCAACACTCTTTATCTCTCTAACGATATAATATCTTACGTGTCACTGTGTGTATTTCTTATATTTTGAAAAATAACAAATCAATATGCACAATTAGTGTGTGAACTGATTTCTGTAAAGACTATTTAAAATATAAAGAATGTAAGAACATGTATATAATCACTGGTATATTGTTGTGAAATTTTTGATAATCGAGGTTCAATTTATTATTCGATTACCTTTCATTTTAGTAATCTTTTCTTTGGTATCATAAAAATTTTATTTCGTAAACTTATAATAATTATATAATATAATCATTTTTATATCTATTCGTGAATAATATACAATATCAGATTTGTTATGAAGATATATTATATTTATTGCAAAAAAAAACCATCAAATACGAAAAAAGACGTGATCTCTCCGATCCTCGCTTCGACAAAGACAAAAAATGATACGTTGAAGGTCCAAAGGATGTCTCGATCACGATACAAACGCCGAAGGGAGCGAATATCCGCTTCCGGTCAGTCGCGCCTCGTTTTTTGCCATTTGCAATATTCAGAAGCCGAATTTGGAGAACGCTAAAGCCACGATTACGAAACTGTTGTCGATACGCCGGTTGTGGATTCTAGTTGTTTGTTTCTCTAGCTTGTTCTCTTTACTAAACATAGAGCGTCACTACTACTCGACACACGTGGGAAAGGTATAAAATGTCGCGACATCGGCACATCATGACACATGAAACGAAAGACAGCCATACGCATTCGGTTGTGCCAATACGGGGACACTTTGTTTCTTTTATGTGCGGCAATTACAAGAATTGTCACCCTGTAACAACGTCTACATTCGTCCACTTATCGCCAAATGTTCCAACAAAAACAAAATAGAAAAAGATTACATAATTTCTTGTATAAGTAGGAAACAATAAGTTATCAGAAATAATTAACGCAAAGAGTTTACAATTTTAATCTATTTTTTTTTAACAATTTTTTCTTAAACTATGTGTTGTTATAATTTACTCCAATAAATTTGCTACTTTATGTTATAGGACGTAGATCGTTTCCGATTTATTCGAGAGAAACACAATTTACTTTAAGATTTATTTTCGAATACATTCTTTGCTTTACAATTTTATTATCCAATAACTATGTATACACAAAACTCCGTTCTACAACATTCACAAGACAATATGAAAGTACGCTTTTGCAAAGGACTGTAATCGAAGTGTATACGAGGGAAGGAGGGAGGGAGGGAGGGAAGGAGGGGGAGAGGTACCAAGAAAAAAGTTTATAATTTATTCTGGAACAAAATAGATTGAATGAACGGATTCTTCCAATATCCGGTATTTAATTTGATATTCTATTAAACGAGCATTCAAACGGCGATCTGTTATTTTATCCATCATATCACATGAACTCGATTGCTAATTTGACCAGCTGATCCGGGTTGAGCGCGCAATTAAACGCGTCGACAACGCAATTTACTTGTCTAGACCGAGCCCGCGGGAAATGTAGGACGATCGAGAGGCGATCGATACGGCAGAGTCGCTAGCCGCGCATCGCAGAGCTTTTTGAATTTTTCCTTCGTGATCAAAATGTTTGTGTCCGCCGCGAAAGGAATACAACTGGAAAGTATCTCCCTTTCCCAAAAGCAACTTACTGCATTCTACTAAGTTATAAATTAAAAGTCATTTAGCCGCGGAATAAATTTGGTATAAATTTCTAACGCAGAGACAACATTTTTGCAGCTTTTTTTTAAAAAAAAACTCCAGAGTATTATGCACGAGCTTTTGGATTGATATCAAGGAAATCTTTATTATTCTCGTATTCAAATAGCAATTTCAATTAATGCACCTTTTTTAATGTTCAAATACAAAATGTTTTAAACTACTATGTAATGCATTGTTTTTAGTCACGCTATATGAAGCATGATTAATTAAAATATGTACGCAAAAAATTATATAATTTTACATTGCATAGCATATTTGCAACTTTACCATACGCTTATACGAATCTATAATTATATAATAATAACATTAATTAATACCGGGTTAAACGATTACGCGCTCGCGACATAATACAGTTTCGATGTACATGTTATTTTTTAGTACACGTGTGTCCTTTTTGATCCACTGCTCATTCGTAAGTTCCGCACACATTCCCATGGTTACATCGTTAAAACTTTCCGTTGCAGAATTTCCACGCTTTTTGCAGCAACGCATGGCTCGTTAGTCCCGCCAATCGGATTAGAGGCGCGCACTAACTGAAGCGCTATATTCCACAGGACAAATCGTTGTATTGTATCTCGCAGACCTATAAAACGATACAACAGACAACGATTCCTTCGATAACGAAGCTAAATCAATTTTACAATTTGCAATTTTTACAATTAGAATTTTCCCAAGGCCACCAAATACTTTTTAACGTGCAATTAATTACAATTTGGAAACTATTCGCAACTCTTGCTCGCGAAAAATCAATTCGACAAACTGCGTAATCGTAGAAAAAAAAAATGTGCAAAAAATACTTACGAACGTGCACAGTGCGCAGTACTTCATTCACGCTTGTCTGTCGGACAATTCCAGTCGTGCATCGCGAGATAATACGACTTTTCGCGTATCGTCTCTCCGTGTCTTCCTTCTGCCAGCATGCTTTATTGCCACGATAAAGAATGGATCAATATTCCAGTGCACGTACACGGCTTCAATGCGCTCATTCCCGCGCATATCTATGCCAATCGCGTGTCTCTTCTGGTGTCACCAGATGGTACATAAAATGAAGCTCAAGTTACAAAAGGAGATCGGGTGGCCGCTGACAGCAGATCTGATGTTCTAATATAGGATGGCGAGCGATTTTACCTCCGTTTCTAGCGTTGTGTGTGACCCTCGTGAGAATTGACTCCAGCTGTTACGTTCTCTTACCACAAGGAGCTGCGTACAATCAGAAGAATTTCTATCTATCAGAAATCGTGTACTGTGAAATACAAGAATCAAATTTTTATTCCTTGCTTCCTGTTCTTCGATTGTGCGCAACACCTAACTCTGGAAGATATAAAGAATATTAAAAAGAGGCCGATTTTTGTTCAAAAAGACGTAAGTAAAAGAAACAGTGTTTTTCTTTTTATAGATTTTGACTTCCTAAATGCAATAAAGTTATTAAAAAGTTCGTGGCGCGCGTTTGGGGAATACCTCAAGAATATCTTAAACAGAAATATTAAAATTTGAATAAACACACTTTTGAAGTGCTCCCCCAAACGCTATAAACTTTATTTATATTTTTATCGTATCCATGACAACAAAATCTACAAGAAAAACTATTCTTTTAATTACATCTTTATAGGATGAAAATTAGAAATTTCCTTTTTAACAATATGTTCTCCTTATTTCGAGTTGTTACATTCTACACGCACAAAACGCGATCGTTCTGCTGACGTTTTATTCAATGGATAGGAAACCCGTGTAATTTATATGGTGGAGCAATATCGAACAATTTGCACATCGCATAAATAAAATAGTCGCACGGGGTCAGTGCGCTCCCTAGTCCGCATGACCCATCAACGAATAATTTGGCTGTTCGTTCTATAATGACACCATTAATAATATGTACCTATATCGCGCCGCGGTATCAGGATGTTCGATAATGTTTAAAATATATAGGGGAGAGTTACCGAAAACGCACTTAACCTATTTCTTATTATATCTTCGCACTATTTTATGAACATTAGAAATTGTAATTTGAGATTTCGGACACTCTCTCGTTATTACATGTTTAACTTGTTACCAATTACTAATTCATTTGTTATAAGTCTTTTTGTAACATAAAAGAAATTTGGGCAACCAGTCGTACCATAGATTTTTGAAAGTATTGAATATATGATTAAGAATAGTTAAATGTGTAAGATTAATAAAAGTAATCATTAAATAATATTTAATAACTAATTAATTAATGCCGAATTTTAATTATTTATTTATAAAAAGAATCAGGTATTTTATAATTGTTAAATAATAATAATAAAAAGACATTAAAATAAAATTAGTTTAAATATATTTTTGCACTTGACATTCGTACTCAAATCAATTATTAGTTTTATTATTGTCAATTATCAATCTTATTTTT